TTTTTTTAAGGAGAGTTTACCACTCTGCGCATGTCAGTACTGCTGTTCAGAACAAAGCCCGCTGCAGGTAAATGCTCGTCATGAACAGATTGTGCCCATGTAAACAACACATTTGAATTATTCAAACAGAACACATTTCAATCCGCTCAGAGAATTCTGCGCATGTAAACATAGCTAGTGAAATCTCCGGCGGCGAGGATTTCTTTGAACTGTAAATTAACCATGAAGTCTGACAGAGAGGACAGAGCCTCTGCTGGGGGGGGAGGACAGAGCCTCTGCTGGGGGGGGGTAACAGCCCAAGACAGATTTTTGGACAGAGTTTTGTTTACTGTTTGTTTGTTGTTTGCTTTCTTTGTATTTGTTGTTTACTCTGTGTTGCTGACGCTGATCTTTTTTGATGAATTTGAATTCATTCGATGTGTTTTCTCTCTCTCACCTGTACAGGTGTCCTCTCTGCTCGTCCTGAACTCCACCCCCTTCATTCACTACCCAAACCCGAGCTTTGACCCGCTCGGGACCTCTGGGATCCTGGAGGTGAAACCGGGCTCCCCCATCATCCTGAAGGTGAGAGGTGACAGGAAGTGCTGCGACCCGCTCAGGGTGGGCATTTCTCACCTGAACAGGTGTTGGTTCTGTGTTTCAGGGTAGAAACCTGATCCCCTCGGCCCCCGGAAACACCCGTTTGAACTACACCGTCCTAATCGGAGAGACTCCCTGCCTGCTCACCGTGTCAGAGAGCCAGCTGCTCTGTGATTCGCCGGATCTGACCGGAGAACAGCGAGTCGTGGTGAGTTTAGCCCCGCCTTTTTCTGTTCCTGTGATGGGTTCAAAACAACAGACTGCTCTAAAACTGGAGATATTTATTCAAAACAATGTCGGATTAATTTTTCAGAACATATTATTATTATTATTATTATTATTATTATTATTATTATTATTATTATTATTATTATTATTATTGTTCTTGATGAGTTTTATAATAAAAATAGTTTTTATGTTGCAGGGCAGAAGCTCATTTTCTGACTTTATTCATAAACCTGTAAGTAAACCTTGTTAATGAGCGTTTCAAAGCAGCGCCGCGTTTCTCCGGCTCAGGATTCAGGTCCAGACCGGAGGAGGCCGTTAAGGTCAGACTCGTTTTGTTCGACCATGGGGAGTCATGGGTAATTAGTCCGATGTCTCGCGCAGATAATGTTTCCACCTCACCTTCAACAACAATCAGTGAGAAACATTTTTAAATCTACAGGATTGTCTCTTCTCAGGTTTTTACGTTCTGTGGGCTCATAAAGTCGCAGACCAGCCCACAAAAATGACCATGTGGCGCTACTTAAAATCATTTTACAATAAATGCAATAAATCAACCTAAAGTTTGGGTCCAGATGAGTCTCTTGGTCCAGTAGCAGAGAATCCTCCAGAGATGAGCTATGATTAAAGTAATATACGTTAAAGTTTATTCATAAATGTCATGTGTATTTACTATATATTATAACATGTTATTATTCATAAATGTCATGTGTATTTACTATATATTATAACATGTTAATATTAATAGATGTAATGTATGTTTATTTTATATTATAACATGGTATTATTCATAAATGTAACATGTATTTATTATATATTATAACATTGTATTGTTCATAAATGTCATGTGTATTTAGTATATATTATAACATGTTAATATTAATAAATGTAACGTGTATTTATTATATTACATGTTACTATTCATAAATATGTGTATTTATTATATATTATAACATGTTATTCATAAATATAATGTGTATTATATATTATAACCTTGTTATTCATTACTGTAGCATGTATTTAATATTTGATACCTTATTATTCATAAATATATCATTTATTTATTATATATTATAATGTTATTATTCATAAATGTAACATGTATTATATATTATTATAACATTTATATTCATAACTAACTGTATTTATTATATATTATAACATTATTACGTATAAATATGTGTATTTATTATATATTATAACATGTTATTATTCAAAAAGATAGTGTGTATTTATTATTATATATTATATATATATTATTTATTATGTAGTATCATGTTTTGTTCCATAAAACATGTAGTTTGATGTTTTGTTCCATAAAAGCATGTCATTTGATGTTTTTTTTTTTCAATTAAAACATGTAGTATCATGTTTTATTCCATAAAACATGTAGTTTGATGTTTTGTTCCATAAAAACATGTAGTATCATGTTTTATTCCATAAAACATGTAGTTTGATGTTTTGTTCCATAAAAACATGTATTTTGATGTTTTGTTCCATAAAAGCAAGTCATTTGATGGTTTTTTTTTTATTAAAACATGTAGTATCATGTTTTGTTCCATAAAACATGTAGTTTTATGTTTTGTTCCATAAAAACACGTAGTTTGATGTTTTTTTCCATAAAAACTGGTAGTTTGATGTTTTGTTCCATAAAAACTCGTAGTTGGATGTTTTGTTCCATAAAATCACGTAGTTTTATGTTTTGTTCCAAAAAACATGTAGTTTTATATTTTGTTCCATAAAATCTCGTATTTTAATGTTTTGTTCTATAAAAACTCGTAGTTTTATATTATGATCCATAAAAACACGTAGTTTTATGTTTTGTGCCATAAAAAACACGTAGTTTTATGTTTTGTGCCATAAAAACACGTAGTTTTATGTTTTGTGCCATAAAAACACGTAGTTTTATGTTTTGTGCCATAAAAACACGTAGTTTTATATTTTGTTCCATAAAAACTCGTATTTTAATGTTTTGCTCCATAAAAACTCGTAGTTTTATGTTTTGTTCCATAAAAACTCGTAATTTGATGTTTTGTTCCATAAAAAAAAGGTAGTTTTATGTTTTGTTCCATAAAAACACGTAGTTTGATGTTTTGTTCCATAAAAACTCGTAGTTTGATGTTTTGTTCCATAAAAACTCCTAGTTTCATGTTTTGTTCCATAAAAACTCGTAGTTTCATGTTTTGTTCCATAAAAACTCGTAGTTTGATGTTTTGTTCCATAAAATCACGTAGTTTTATGTTTTGTTCCAAAAAAACATGTAGTTTTATATTTTGTTCCATAAAATCTCATATTTTAATGTTTTGTTCCATAAAAACACGTAGTTTTATATTATGTTCCATAAAAACACGTAGTTTTATGTTTTGTGCCATAAAAACACGTAGTTTTATATTTTGTTCCATAAAAACTCGTATTTTAATGTTTTGTTCCATAAAAACACGTAGTTTTATATTTTGTTCCATAAAAACTCGTATTTTAATGTTTTGTTCCATAAAAACTCATATTTTAATGTTTTGTTCCATAAAAACACGTAGTTTTATATTTTGTTCCATAAAAACTCGTATTTTAATGTTTTGTTCCATAAAAACTCGTATTTTAATGTTTTGTTCCATAAAAACTCGTAGTTTTATGTTTTGTTCCATAAAAACTCGTAGTTTTATGTTTTGTTCCATAAAAACTCGTAGTTTGATGTTTTGTTCCATAAAAACTCCTAGTTTCATGTTTTGTTCCATAAAAACTCGTAGTTTCATGTTTTGTTCCATAAAAACTCGTAGTTTGATGTTTTGTTCCATAAA